CTGACCATCACACGTTTGAGTCATCCATTAATTTTGTGCATTGAGATTGTGGTTAATCTCAAAAACATCTTGAAAGTATTTGCAATAAAAAAGTATTAATCATTGCCCAGAAAGCTTTTGTTCATATATTCTAAAAAATATATAAATATGTCTTTCTAACACTTACATTACTCAGGCTGCATGGTGCAGCTGTTGGATCGCTTGCAGAAAATGTACCTGCGAGAATCTCGGGAGTTGTCGCGACAGTTTGTGTTACTATGGCGTTTACAAACTGTATTTATTAGCAGCAGTCTCCCCCTACAGTCGCTGCTGTGCGGTTCGGTCCTGCTCAGGTCTGTTGGACGCAGTACTGTTGGGAGGAGTTCTTACCGACATTTGGGCTTTGACTGTCCACCAGAGACGTCTGTCTTCAGGGAAACACTTTTAGTTTTCACTTGTTCGGAAGAAGCAGGCAGTCAAAAATACAGCAGCTGCTGGGGTTTGTCGGTTCTGACCCGCAAAAGGAAGCTGTAAGTCTTAAACATTGATACAATTATATATTTTTTTCTGTCATGATTTAGCATCTTTTTTGACAGCTTATATRTAATGACATTATTGATCGGATAAAAAAATGTTAAAACTACAATATTGTTGCATGAAATTTCGCCACCTGCTCTTTAGCTGGTCTCTTCTCGACAGACGCTCGTGCAGGAAAAACACGACTTGTCTCGTGCATGACTAATTTGAAACCGTGCTGTACATCAGACCCATGACTGCGCCGAGTCCACAGAAGCAGAACCGGGTCAGCCTGTGCTTACTGCTGCAGATCTTGAACAAACAGGGCTTCGGTGCATGGAGAGTACTGTTAAAATAAGCAGACCAATCAAAGACTGGGCTGCTTGTCAGCAGAACTGGTACAGATCTGGGTCGGTACCATCTTTCAACCATCAGGTGTGGTGCAGCATTCGAAACACACTGATTCACATTAAACTACATCCCAACTTTCCCCTTTYCCCCCTCCGGTTCTGTTGCCTGTAGAGCCTGTTATGATCTAATTTGGGTGTAAAACATGACATGCAGTACATATTATATACTTATACTGTATTATTACATGTGCTGTGTTTTCTCTGGGCTCTTTTGCTTTATGTATTGTACAGTTTTGTTGCTACTGTAGCATGTGAATTTCCCCTGGCAGGGATAATTCAAATCTTATCAGGGTGTAGAGCAGAGCAGTGTGACGCAGCACAACTGTTCATGTTTGAGCTTTTGGTCTCAGGTGACAAATAATCTTAAAGTTTAAAAAAGGTAACTGTGTTTCTTTATCTTTGGTAGACTTACTGCTTTTCCTCCGAGGAGCTTWCTTAGTTCAGGCTGTATTGGTTACAAAGCTTTAACCTGCATGAGATACTCTGTTAATGCAAGCTAAATTCATATGCAGACTGATGCATCGCCCAGCCTGGTTCTCATAAAAAAGTGTTTTGGTCACGAGCATGATGTAAATTTGTCAGAGAATCAGATCCAAAGTGGTTTTGTAAGTTCTACTGTATTCTGAGAGCCTCAGGTGTATTTGTAACGTTTCTGTTACCTTCTGTTGTTATGTTGAATAAAGCGTATTAAAACAAAAAAAGAAAAAATGAACTACAAAATCTCATCACTGTGAATTTCACCAAAATGTTTCTTAAAGTTTCAAAAATAATAAGTAACAAAACTAAACGATTTTCTTACAACGTCACCTTTCACACGTTTCTACATGCCAGACAGAACAGTTTCAGTCAGATGTTTACATACAGTAGTTTTGGTTCGAGCACAGACAAGAATGAGACAACATATAGAAATGTGCCTCAGTTTCATCACTCACAAGACGCCATGGGGGAAAATCCATCTCATGTCCTGTGAATCCATTTTGCCAAATTTAAATGAAACTGATCCAAGATCGATTAAATCCATTTCTTTTTACCTAGCCCTAGTAAACACACACACACACACACACACACACACACACACACACACACACACACACACACACA